GGGGGGGAGGGGCGTCAAGCCTTTTAGCCCTTCCTTACGCCCCGCCAGGTGTACGTTCTATCAGCGACACCTTCCAGTCACCTGCATGTTTGGCTTAATAGTGTATACAGTACGTGCTCATGCATTCATGATGGTTCGATTTCGAAGTAGGCGTATTCCTTTTTTTTTTTTATCAGTGATAATTTCTTCCAAGGGTGGGGCAATGAAATATATCTCCCGTATTATTCTATCATTTCTTTTTATTGGTAGTTTTCTTTCTCTCCTATAGTATCATATACTTGTATCTATTATATTGTATACATTTATAGGTTTCTTTCCACGCGGAACGTGTGTAATGAGTGTCTAAGACATGGCGGTCAATGCTCACTTGTACACATTACGATGCTTTTTTTAAGGTGGGGGGGGGGGGGGGGGGGGCAAGTGAAGCCAGTGTTCTGTCACAACTCACCAGGCCCTGGGGCTGGGGGTTCGAGTGGGGGCACAGTTTCATTTTAGTAAATAAACTCCCCTCCTGATACATTTTGAAAATAACCCCCCCACCCCACCCCACTTCTCTCTTTCTCTCATTCTCTCTTTCTCTCTCTCTCTCTCTCTCTCTCTCTCTTTCTCTCTCTCTCTCTCTCTCTCTCTCTCTCTCTCTCTCTCTCTCTCTCTCTCTCTCTCTCTCTCTCTCTCTCTCTCATTATCAACATTATCTTCGTTTGACTCTCTCCATCTCTTTATTTCTACCAAGCTTTGCTTGTGAGCTGTTTTCCGTCTCTCCCCTCCCACACTCCCTCTCTTTTCTCTTTATCTCTCTCTCTCTCTCTCTCTCTTTCTCTCTCTCTCTCTTTCGATCTATTTATCTATTCTATCTATCTATCTCTCCCTCTCTCGGTGTGTGTGTGTGGGTATGTGTGTGTGTGTGTGTGTGTGTGTGTATTCGTTATCAGCTTTGTTGCCATATTATAATTCTTTTGTGGATTTGCTTTTATCTTCCAAAATTAGATCTATATTGATGGTGTTTCAGTAAAAGAAAATGGGAAATGGGAAAAGGGGTGGGGGTTGTTTAACCCCTTTCTTAGGCCTAAACATATATTGTTTATCGATTGGGGCTACTGTAAAATACATTCTTTCTCTGTCCACTTTCTCTCTTGTAGTAGGTATAGGCCGCCAAAAAGGGGCTGAAGCTCCACCTGTCTGTCTCGCTCTCTCCGTTGTGGGCGATCCTCTCTACCTCATAGTCTAAGATCCTTGACCTTATGCCAGCTGTTGTGCCCAATCTGTCTTGAGATCCGCCTCCAGATCTCGATCTCCAATGAACCTCGATCTTCGTCTCTTCATTTTCCCCTGAGGATTCCATTTAATTACTACTATGCAGACGCGGGTGTATTACACACTCTTAGGCCTACGTGCGCACGTTCCCAAACAACTGAGAAAGGAGGATAAAAAGAGACACAGAAATTAACACTTTGCTTTACGAAGCATTGTGAGTCTGCAGATTTAATGTGGTGCCGTACTTGTAGTTCAACATTTCTGCTCAATCCTGCCAAAGAGCCCAGAACAGTTTCAGGTCAGGCACTGGGAAGGGTTTAAAAAGCACGTAAAATTTAGGATAACCAACCATAATGAGAAGGGATCCTGCGGGTGGTTGGAGGGCGCCACGGGAAGCCTATTTTCTTTCCCTCTGTGTCTCTATTATTTTAGTCTGTCTTGTTTCTTCCCCGCATTGCGTGGCTTAAATTGTGTCGATGTGTGTCTCTTTACTCGAACTCGAGACGGGACCCACATGAAGTTTTACACGCGTACACATGTGTGTGAGAAAGAAATATATATGTATATCATTTTTTTTTACACGCGTACACATGTGTGTGAGAAAGAAATATATATATATATATATATGTATATATATATATATATATATATATATATATATATATATATATATATATAGAGAGAGAGAGAGAGAGAGAGA